GGCATCTTGAGGAAAGAGCTATTGGCGTAAGGAAAGTGAAAGTCAACCCTGCAAAAACAAAGATCGCATCAACTTCTAAAGCCCCTAAGTGATCAGTCATGATCCGATTGCAAGCTTCAAGAGCGGCAGCGATTTATCTTTTTGTTGAGTATGATTGAGCCGTTGACAGTTCTATTCACCTTAAACCGTTATCTTCAGGCCAACGGACAGTGGAACTAAGGGGTCAACGTAGAGTACCTATGTGAAGGAGTAAGAATCTGTGAGGTTCGCATCAGCGTAAATATGTTTTTTTCAACTTCCAGCCTCGCCGATGTTAGGAAACTTCTCGCGCTTCACCCCGATCCGAAAAGCCTGGACCATCGACTATCCGAGACTAGTTGTTCTCCACTGTTGAGGGTGACACAGTCGCCTATTATAGCGCTACCCCAAACAAAGTAGCACGGAACGCCAGTAGCACTCGAATCCTTGTCAAAGTAACTACGAAGGCAGAGCCGCGATGAAAACTCAATGACACCACTCAGAGCCTGAAAGTTGTGACCTTCTTAAGTCAATCAAGCGAAACATCCCGAAAAAAAATTCGAGAGGAGAAGGGCGGCTAATTCGCCATTCAGTGTGGCAACCCTTATTCACAATTCGTATAAAATATGAACCACGAAAAGGAAATTTGCCACCAGGAGCAAAGACACATTGTTTCTCTGAAGTGATTAGTTTACATTTAATTAATTAATCCATTTTATATAATGCAGATCAAGAACAATCATCGTAAATTCATGTCACTCTGAATACCTTCGCAGATACAACTAAAGGTGTTCTCAAGGCAAACCGATTAAAATATAACATCACATTATACCTGAAAATTAATACCCAATGAAACATCCCCATAAAAGATAACATCAAGCACCATCCCTATCACGGTCTCTGTTAGATCACGTAATTACCCTACATCAAGACAAGTGCATTCAAGGCACGCCAGAACAGCCCATTGGGAATGAGGAAACCATTCCCAGCACTACTACTGTTCCGGGAAGGCAAGTCGATCTACCTTGGGCACATGACGCTACGCCCACCGTCCACTCCCAGCGTTTGACCCGTGATGAACGAAGCATCATCCGAGGCTAGGAACGCGATCGGCTTGGCCACTTCCATCACTTCTCCTGGACGACCGAGAGCCTATGTGAAGGAGTAAGAATCTGTGAGGTTCACATCAGCGTAAAGATGTTTTTTTTCAAGTTTCAACCTCGCCGATATTAGGAAACTTCTCGCGCTTCACCCCGATCCGAATAGCCTGGACCATCGACTATCCGAGGATGTCCGTGAAGTTAGCGTCAGCAACAGCAACGAATACAGCGTCGGATTCAGAATCGCTTCAAAAACTGCCATCCGGTCAATTAGGGGACGGGGAACACGAATATGACATTTATTTTGCCCTAGCTCCCTTCCTTCATCCCTTAATCGTCCCTTAAAGGACGGGGCGCGTCAAAAGTGCCCCAAGGCTTCGTCTGATCGCCAAAATAATGGTCGCAATCGATTCCTCGGGTCAATATCTAACCTCAGTCGAAGGTTCCAGACCTGTGCCTCCTATCCTTCATCCCTTAATCGTCCCTTAAAGGACGGGGCGCGTCAAAAGTGCCCCAAGGCTTCGTCTGATCGCCAAAATAATGGTCGCAATCGATTCCTCGGGTCAATATCTAACCTCAGTCGAAGGTTCCAGACCTGTGCCTCCTATCCTTCATCCCTTAATCGTCCCTTAAAGGACGGGGCGCGTCAAAAGTGCCCCAAGGCTTCGTCTGATCGCCAAAATAATGGTCGCAATCGATTCCTCGGGTCAATATCTAACCTCAGTCTAGGATTCCAGACCTGTGCCTCCTATCCTTCATCCCTTAATCGTCCCTTAAAGGACGGGGCGCGTCAAAAGTGCCCCAAGGCTTCGTCTGATCGCCTAAATAATGGTCGCAATCGATTCCTCGGGTCAATATCTAACCTCAGTCGAAGGTTCCAGACCTGTGCCTCCTATCCTTCATCCCTTAATCGTCCCTTAAAGGACGGGGCGCGTCAAAAGTGCCCCAAGGCTTCGTCTGATCGCCAAAATAATGGTCGCAATCGATTCCTCGGGTCAATATCTAACCTCAGTCGAAGGTTCCAGACCTGTGCCTCCTATCCTTCATCCCTTAATCGTCCCTTAAAGGACGGGGCGCGTCAAAAGTGCCCCAAGGCTTCGTCTGATCGCCAAAATAATGGTCGCAATCGATTCCTCGGGTCAATATCTAACCTCAGTCGAAGGTTCCAGACCTGTGCCTCCTATCCTTCATCCCTTAATCGTCCCTTAAAGGACGGGGCGCGTCAAAAGTGCCCCAAGGCTTCGTCTGATCGCCAAAATAATGGTCGCAATCGATTCCTCAGGTCAATATCTAACCTCAGTCGAAGGTTCCAGACCTCTGCCTCCTATCCTTCATCCCTTAATCGTCCCTTAAAGGACGGGGCTTGTCAAAAGTGCCCCAAGGCTTCGTCTGATCGCCTAAATAATGGTCGCGTACGTCTGATTTTGGCGATCAGACGAAGCCTTGGGGCACTTTTGATGCGCCCCGTCCTTTAAGGGACGATTAAGGGATGAAGGATAGGAGGCACAGGTCTGGAACCATCGACTGAGGTTAGATATTGACCCGAGGAATCGATTGCGACCATTATTTTGGCGATCAGACGAAGCCTTGGGGCACTTTTGACGCGCCCCGTCCTTTAAGGGACGATTAAGGGATGAAGGATAGGAGGCACAGGTCTGGAACCTTCGACTGAGGTTAGATATTGACCCGAGGAATCGATTGCGACCATTATTTTGGCGATCAGACGAAGCCTTGGGGCACTTTTGACGCGCCCCGTCCTTTAAGGGACGATTAAGGGATGAAGGATAGGAGGCACAGGTCTGGAACCTTCGACTGAGGTTAGATATTGACCCGAGGAATCGATTGCGACCATTATTTTGGCGATCAGACGAAGCCTTGGGGCACTTTTGACGCACCCCGTCCTTTAAGGGACGATTAAGGGATGAAGGATAGGAGGCACAGGTCTGGAACCTTCGACTGAGGTTAGATATTGACCCGAGGAATCGATTGCGACCATTATTTTGGCGATCAGACGAAGCCTTGGGGCACTTTTGACGCACCCCGTCCTTTAAGGGACGATTAAGGGATGAAGGATAGGAGTAACAGGTCTGGAACCTTCGACAGAGGTTAGATATTGACCCGAGGAATCGATTGCGACCATTATTTTGGCGATCAGACGAAGCCTTGGGGCACATTTGACGCGCCCCGTCCTTTAAGGGACGATTAAGGGATGAAGGATAGGAGGCACAGGTCTGGAACCTTCGACTGAGGTTAGATATTGACCCGAGTAATCGATTGCGATCATTATTTTGGCGATCAGACGAAGCCTTGGGGCACTTTTGACGCGCCCCGTCCTTTAAGGGACGATTAAGGGATGAAGGATAGGAGGCACAGGTCTGGAACCATCGACTGAGGTTAGATATTGACCCGAGGAATCGATTGCGACCATTATTTTGGCGATCAGACGAAGCCTTGGTGCACTTTTGACGCGCCCCGTCCTTTAAGGGACGATTAAGGGATGAAGGATAGGAGGCACAGGTCTGGAACCTTCGACTGAGGTTAGATATTGACCCGAGGAATCGATTGCGACCATTATTTTGGCGATCAGACGAAGCCTTGGGGCACTTTTGACGCGCCCCGTCCTCTAAGGGACGATTAAGGGATGAAGGATAGGAGGCACAGGTCTGAAACCTTCGACTGAGGTTAGATATTGACCCGAGGAATCGATTGCGACCATTATTTTGGCGATCAGACGAAGCCTTGGGGCACTTTTGACGCACCCCGTCCTTTAAGGGACGATTAAGGGATGAAGGATAGGAGGAACAGGTCTGGAACCTTCGACTGAGGTTAGATATTGACCCGAGGAATCGATTGCGACCATTATTTTGGCGATCAGACGAAGCCTTGGGGCACTTTTGACGCGCCCCGTCCTTTAAGGGACGATTAAGGGATGAAGGATAGAGGGCACAGGTCTGGAACCATCGACTGAGGTTAGATATTGACCCGAGGAATCGATTGCGACCATTATTTTGGCGATCAGACGAAGCCTTGGGGCACTTTTGACGCGCCCCGTCCTTTAAGGGACGATTAAGGGATGAAGGATAGGAGGCACAGGTCTGGAACCTTCGACTGAGGTTAGATATTGACCCGAGGAATCGATTGCGACCATTATTTTGGCGATCAGACGAAGCCTTGGGGCACTTTTGACGCGCCCCATCCTTTAAGGGACGATTAAGGGATGAAGGAAGGGAGCTAGGGCAAAATAAATGTCATATTCGTGTTTCCCGTCCCCCAATTGACCTGATGGCAGTTTTTGAAGCGATTCTGAATCCGACGCTGTATTCGTTGCTGTTGCTGACGCTAACTTCACGGACATTATCCGAGGCTAGTTGTTCTCCACTGTTAAAGGTGACACATGGCCTATTATAGCGCTAGCCCAAACGAAGAAGCACGGAACGCCGGTGGCACTGTAAGCCAATATACCCTGGGTGGCACTCGAGTGCTTGCCAAAGTAACCAGTAGCGGCTGAACACCTTCAATTATAAGGGGGGGGGGGCATTGCCGACTTTTGGTCCCATTCTTTTCATGCAACGCCCATAGGGCTGTTAAAATGGCAAAATCAAGGGGGCACGATGCCCCACGTTCCGCCGCCTATGAAAGTACTTACGAAAACAGAGCCGCAATGAAAACTCTTAGTTATGTAAACTCTAACCTACTCATGGTTTCTGACACCAAAAACAATTGAGCCTGAAAGTTTAAACTTAAGTCCATCAGGCAAAACAGCCTGAAAAAAAAATCGAGAGAGGAAGGGCGGCGAATTTGCAGTGTGGGAAGTGTTCTTAGGAATTGGTATTTAGTATGAATCACGAAAAGGAATGTTGTCGCCAGGAGTAAAGTCGCAAATTGTTTCCTTGAAGCGGTTAGTGTGTATTTATCTAAGAAATCTGTTTCATATACCTTCAGGTCAAGACCAAGCATCGTAAATCCATGCCACTCTGAATACGTTCGCAAATAGGCACAAACGTACGTATTTCCATGACAACCTGATAAAAACGTACCTGTTAGATTAAACATACCTGAGAACTAATACCCAATGAAACATACCCATCAAAGATAACACCGATCATCAGCCTTATCACGCTCCCAGCTACATCACGTAATTACCCGACATCAGACAAGTGCATTCAACGCACGTCAGAACAGCCCATTGGGAATGATGAAACCATTCCCAGCACTACTACTGTTCCGGGAAGGCAAGTCGATCTATCTTGGGCACATGACGCTACGCCCACCATCCACTCCCAGCGTTTGACCCGTGATGAACGAAGCATCATCCGAGGCTAGGAACACGATCGGCTTGGCCACTTCCATCACTTCTCCTGGACGACCGAGAGCGTGCGTCGACTTGCAGTGCTCCAAGAAGTTCTTATACTTCTCGGGTCCCATTCCAGAGCGAGTGTGAAGCTCTGTGATGATAACCCCGGGGTTGACTGCGTTGACTCGCACCCCACGGTCTGCCAGCTCCAGAGCGGCGCATCGCGTCAGCTGGTCCACTGCAGACTTGGACATGCAGTAAGCCATGACGCCCGGAAAAGATCTCGTCCCCGTGACACTGGAGACGTTGACGATGTTGCCCTTGGTCTTCACCAAATGCGGAATGGCCAACTGACTGAGACAGACCACTGAACGGCAGTTGATTTCCATCTGTTTGTCGTACTGCTCCAAACTAAGAGATTCCAGTGGGCCTCCGACCAGAACGCCGGCGCTGTTCACCAGTATGTCGAGCTGGCCAAAGTGTTTGATGGTGTCGCTGACAAGCTGCTGGCAGTACTCCTCCCTGCACACATCTCCAGCAACTGTGAGGACCTGATCGGCCGCAGCTCCTGCCGCGTGACACTTGTCGGCCACCTCCTTCAGACGATCCTCGTTACGTCCAGCCAGCACCACCCTCGCACCCAGTGATGCAAAGTGTTCAGCCGTGGCAGCGCCAATGCCTGAGCTGGCGCCTGTGACGATCGCCACTTTTTCTGAGAGGTTGGGCATCTTGGATAAAGATGTTTGATGTTAGTTGAGAAAACCTGTAACATGGAAATCAAATCAAATGCAAGATGCATAATGAATGTTAAGGGACAGTAGGAGATTGCAACACGGTCTGAGCTCAAATTTTAATAAAGCATGCAGTTGACAAGCCCTTGAAGCCCAAACATATCTTCTTGCAAATGCATGGGTACTTGATTGAGTGGCTTAGTCAGGCATCAAAGAGTGGATGAAATTAATACAAGCAGTTGGCTACAAGTGAAAGTTTCTTTTTTTGCTAGGTATCCAAATTTGAAATAACAACACTTTGCTAATTTATATGTATGAACGAAACAGGTATTCACAAAGTCCTTTCCGACGACGCTATACCCATATCAGCCAATTCAGCTCTGCAAACCTCATCCCCCACGGTTCGTACACCTAGAATGAAGGTTTTTAGTCTCTCTTGATTACTTCTGGCACGGAATATATAGTCTACGACAGTGTCGTAGTGTCGTAAACTATATATTACGTAATTCTGGTCTCCCTTTTACGACACTAGGAAACCCAACTGATCAGGGGGAGTCACCTAAGACCTATGCGTTAATCATTGACAATAAGGCATACCACCATACACTGCATACCTCCTTTTAGCATCTACAATTATGAAAGCGAATTGCTCACTTGATACGGCAAAGATCGGGGCAAGGATTGGGGCTTTGGTAACAGCGCCACCTACTTACTTTGAAGCCAAAGCATAAGCAACGCCATCTAGCAACCATTGTTGCATGCATCCATTGTATCTTGTGAGATACATGCATGATGCAGCTGCAATGTATACTCAGGTGTTCAGGAATAGAGATCAGGAACGGTTTGGATGAAAAATACAGTTTGGATGAAACCCCATTTTCTTTTGCTTATCATACTAAAGAGTTTCATGGTTCCATGTCAATAGGACCAACATCCAAAGCCTGCACATACCTAACACTTAAAACCTTCTGACAAATTGCTATGCTGGGTTATATTAGATTAGGTTGGGTCAGGTGACCTCACCTGAACTAATTATCATGATATTTGCTGCACAGTTAAGCAACATTTTTATTCAGGACATTAAAGACATGGCAAGAAACAAAATTTGGTCTTCAAAAATTGTGTGGACCTCAGCTTCAGACTTCAGTAATACTGGGAAATGAGCACCACTGAAAACATCTTGTTTCTGAATTATGAAACAGTGCTCTATAATCTTACAGCATGCTGCAAAGTAGATATGGAAGAGGGCTTCAAATGGAAGAATAGTGAATAGTATAAAGCAACTAGATGGTCAGGCACAGGCAAGCTTCAATTAAATTGAATTTAATTGCTCTTGCTCCAAAGAACCTCCTACATGACTGAGATAGGGTAGAAAAAAGTGCAAAGCAAAAGTGGAAAACATGCACATTTTCTTACTTAACCAACTCATTGAATAAAAAGATGCACAGATCATTTTGATAAACACAAAGAAATTTGAATCACATAGACACCTAAAACCTAAGGACAATTAAGATATTTAAACTCATAAAAGCAGTACCTAGGCACTCAATCATTTTAAGCTTTGAAATTTTTCGAGAAACACATCAAAAAGCCACCCACCTGAACTTCATTCATTAACATATTTGGTAGGTATTTTTCAAGGGACCAAGTCTTCATGCATGGATTGTTAAGAAACCTCTTAATTTATATGACCATATCATTGTAAATTAAAGTTTAGAAAGCATCTTTCATGTATTACCTGATCATTTTAAACTACGAGGATAAGGTCATAATACCTGAGCGATCACAATAACCCGGTTTACATAGCATTTTTGACGAGGCTCTAGCTCGTTAATTTGGCGATAATTTCTATGCAGTTTTCTTCAAATATTTAGAGGGGATCATTTTGTAAATTGTTAAGCACCATTGGCATCTTTTGCAACATCACGGACGGAGATATAAGCTTGCAGTTGCAACAAACCCTATGTAAACGCGTCTTATGTGTTACGTTGCACTTGCATCTCAGCAGAGGCATCCAGACTGACCAGTGACCACTATCACACAGCCTCACAATTTTTTGGCAATGAACAATCAGTTGTAAGATTGGTATTGTAAAATTGGTATAAGATTGTAAGAAAGTCCATTGTAAAATGAGAAGTATGTTCAGTTCTGCTATCTGCTAGGGGTCATTCAACATGAATATTTTACTTTTTACACCAGTGCCTGAGGCTGGAGGATTTGATAATACACTTCATGTGAAATGATGATACACTTCACGAAATCGGCAATACAGAGGCACATGCATACTTGGAATTGCATTATTAGACAAAAACATTTGAGCCAAGGCATTTTATCTCCATCCAAATCAATATTAATTTTCGACTTATCTGAATCTGCCCGACGAAAGCCAAATTTCTCAGAACGAAATTTTCCTTCTTCGCCTTTGCCAAAAGAGCCTTTACTGGAAGCTGAAAAAAATCCGCCGAAACCGCCGGTGCTGCGCTGAAAATGACTAAACTAAATCACTGAACGCGAGTACTATTTAAAGGGACCCTCCCACCTTCAAAAAAGTTTATGAATTGGCATGAAAGTGATGTCACTCGGTTCAGAAAGAGCGAAAACGAATATCTACCAAATTTCACCGAAAAATATTCACCGGTTTTCAATATATTAGACTTTTACTTTTGTTTACTTTTTGGGATCTCCGCTGTTCCTAGCGACTTTATTTAAAAGTGCGGCATTTGTTGCGCGCAACGCAGCATATACCACCGCGTGCTACAAAACGTTTTAGTCAAACATTTAACGGACGCTCGAAAGCCTGATGACGTCATCAGATTCCCGTAATGGTTAAGAGATAGGGACCACGCTGGTCCCACCCTGCAAGTAAAGGGAAGAAATTTCTTGAACACCATAAAGCTGCGGGGGTTGCGACCAGGATAAATGGTGGTTTCTGAGCCTGGCCGCAAACTTGGCTATCTCAACTCAAAACTAATGTTAAGGTGGGAGGGTCCCTTTAAAATTTGCGAAGCTGTGTCCGATTCTGTGGGAATTTTCCGAATCTGACAACGTCTATCAATTCAGCAGCAACGAATATCAGCCTCACAGCAGCATATTTCGGGGTCTTTCGATTTGGCTGAAAATCGGTATACCGGGCCTCCTCGATGCGCTGATTCCGAAAATGTACCTCTTTGGGGTGGTATTTTGCACCGTTAACGAGTTAACGGCCATTTAACATTTTAACGGGAAACGGCGGGGTCTTTCGATTTGGCTGAAAATCGGTATACAGGGCCTCCTCGATGCGCTGATTCTGAAAATGTACCTCTTTGGGGTGGTATTTTGCACCGTTAACGAGTTAACGGCCAGTTAACATTGTAACGGGAAACAGCGGGGTCTTTCGATTTGGCTGAAAATCGGTATACAGGGCCTCCTCGATGCGCTGATTCCGAAAATGTACCTCTTTGGGGTGGTATTTTGCACCGTTAACGAGTTAACGGCCATTTAACATTTTAACGGGAAACGGCGGGGTCTTTCGATTTGGCTGAAAATCGGTATACAGGGCCTCCTCGATGCGCTGATTCCGAAAATGTACCTCTTTGGGGTGGTATTTTGCACCGTTAACGAGTTAACGGCCAGTTAACATTTTAACGGGCAACAGCGGGGTCTTTCGATTTGGCTGAAAATCGATGTACAGTCCCTACTCGATGCGCTCATTCCGAAAATGTACCTCTTTAGGGTGGTATTTTGCACCATTAACGAGTTAACGACCAAATAACATTTTAACGGGAAACGGCGGGGTCTTTCGATTTCGCTGAAAATCGGTATACAGGGCCTCCTCGATGCGCTGATTTCGAAAATGTGCCTCTTTGGGGTGGTATTTTGCACCGTTAACGAGTTAACGAACCGTTAACATTTCAGCAGCATATATCGATTTCAGCAGCAAATTTTTGGGGTCTTTCGATTTGGCTGAAAATCGGTAGACAGGGCCTCCTCGATGCGCTGATTCCCGAAATGTACCTCTTTGGGATGGTATTTTACAAAGTTAACGAGTTAACGGCCATTTAACATTTTAACGGGAAACGGCGGGGTCTTTCGATTTGGCTGAAAATCGGTATACAGGGCCTCCTCGATGCGCTGATTCCGAAAATGTACCTCTTTGGGGTGGTATTTTGCACCGTTAACGAGTTAACGACCAGTTAACATTTTAACGGGAAACGGCGGGGTCTATCGATTTGGCTGAAAATCGGTATACAGGGCCTCCTCGATGCGCTGATTCCGAAAATGTACCTCTTTGGGGTGGTATTTTGCACCGTTAATGAGTTAACGGCCATTTAACAATTTAACGGGAAACGGCGGGGTCTTTCGATCTGGCTTAAAATCAATATACAGGGCCTCCTCGATGCGCTGATTCCGAAAATGTACCTCTTAAGGGTGGTATTTTGCACCGTTAACGAGTTAACGGCCAGTTAACATTTTAACGGGAAACAGCGGGGTCTTTCGATTTGGCTGAAAATCGGTGTACAAAGCCCCCTCGATGCGCTGATTACGAAAATGTACCTATTTAGGGTGGTATTTTGCACCGTTAACGAGTTAACGACCAAATAACATTTGAACGGGAAACGGCGCGGTCTTTCGATTTCGCTGAAAATCGGTATACAGGGCCTCCTCGATGCGCTGATTTCGAAAATGTGCCTCTTTGGGGTGGTATTTTGCACCGTTAACGAGTTAACGAACCGTTAACATTTCAGCAGCATATATCGATTTCAGCAGCAAATTTTCGGGGTCTTTCGATTTGGCTGAAAATCGGTATACAGTGCCTCCTCGATGCGCTGATTCCGAAAATGTGCCTCTTTGGGGTGGTATTTTGCACCGTTAACGAATTAACGGCCATTTAACATTTTAACGGGAAACGGCGGGGTCTATCGATTTGGCTGAAAATCGGTATACAGGGCCTCCTCGATGAGCTGATTCCGAAAATGTACCTCTTTGGGGTGGTATTTTGCACCGTTAACGAGTTAACGGCCATTTAACATTTTAACAGGAAACGGCGGGGTCTTTCGATTTGGCTGAAAATCGGTATACGGGGCCTCCTCAATGCGCTCATTCCGAAAATGTACTTCTTTAGGGTGGTATTTTGCACCGTTAACGAGTTAACGACCAAATAACATTTTAACGGGAAAAGGCGGGGTCTTTCGATTTCGCTGAAAATCAGTATACAGGGCCTCCTCGAGGCGCTGATTTCCAAAATGTGCCTCTTTGGGGTGGTATTTTGCACTGTTAACGAGTTAACGAACCGTTAACATTTCAGCAGCATATATCGATTTCAGCAGCAATTTTTTGGGGTCTTTCGATTTGGCTGAAAATCGGTATACAGGGCCTCCTCGATGCGCTGATTCCGAAAATGTACCTCTTTGGGATGGTATTTTACAAAGTTAACGAGTTAACGGCCATTTAACATTTTAACGGGAAACGGCGGGGTCTTTCGATTTGGCTGAAAATCGGTATACAGGGCCTCCTCGATGCGCTTATTCCGAAAATGTACCTCTTTGGGGTGGTATTTTGCACCATTAACGAGTTAACGAACCGTTAACATTTTAGCAACATATATTGATTTCAGCAGCAAATTTTCGGGGTCTTTCGATTTGGCTGAAAATCGGTATACAGTGCCTCCTCGATGCGCTGATTTCGAAAATGTACCTCTTTAGGGTGGTATTTTGCACCGTTAAGGAGTTAACGGCCATTTAACATTTTAACGGGAAACGGCGGAGTCTATCGATTTGGCTGAAAATCGGTATACAGGGCCTCCTCGATGCGCCGATGCCGAAAATTCTCCTCTTTAGGGTGGTATTTTTCACCGTTAACGAGTTAACGAACCGTTAACATTTCAGCAGCATGTATCCATTTCAGCAGCAAATTTTCGGGGTCTATCGATTTGGCTGAAAATCGGTATACAGGGCCTCCTCGATGCGCTGATTCCGAAAAGTTACCTCTTTAGGGTGGTATTTTCCACCGTTAACGAGTTAACGAACCGTTAACATTTCAGCAGCATATATCGATTTCAGTAGCAAATTTTCGGGGTCTTTCGATTTGGCTGAAAATCGGTATACAGTGCCTCCTCGATGCGCTGATTCCGAAAATGTACCTCTTTGGGGTGGTATTTTGCACCGTTAACCCTCGCCCATGTAGGGGGGGGGGGTTGGTGCACCCCCCCCCCCCCTGAGGTTTTTCTTAGCTACACGCCGAACCGTTTCAGATAGCCTGCTCAAATTTTCAGTACCCTATGGGGCATCCTTTGCGCAACTTTTGGTATTTTTTTTTGTCAAGGTCATGTCAGGTCACGGAGTTATGACGTCATAAAGGGAACAACCTCCGGCCAGATTTACGCTAAATTTGAGATTGCTTCACATTGGTATAAATGCCGACTGACCTGACACACTGATGGATTGTTTTAGAATCATAACTGGCTGATTTGACATTGGCACAATGTCCGTTGACCTTTTCAAGGTTACTAAAGGTCAAGGTCAGGTCAGTGACCTCGGTTGACCTGTAATCACTTCTTGCACTTGTATGCCTTTTCGGGGTATTTTGATGCCCTGAATTCGAATTTGCTATCCATTTCAGGCATCGTCGGTTGTTTCTTGTAGTTCATTTTGGGTCAGGGTCAGGTCAGTGACGTCACACGCCTGACGTGACCCAATGCACAAGTGACCTTGCAGACTTCCGATGCTCCCAACGCATCATTTTTAGAGTTATGACATCGAAATACACACCAAACGATAGAGAATTGATCAAGGATCACGATAGTGAAGGTTTCAAGTCGATATCTCTTACCGTTTTGCCGCAATCGGCGCGGAAATCTGAAAAAGTTCGATTTTTCCGAAAATTTGACCTTTGACCGGTCATAAGTAGGTCAAATGTTGACCTAGGACCAAAAAATATACCACCAATCGCGAGATCTCGTTGAGAGCAATCCGTTGGTCTTTTCCGCTAAGCTCTACAACGCTCCGTTTTCAAACGCCAGGGGGGGTCGCACCAAACCCCCCCCCCCTGCATGGGCGAAGGTGGCAAAACACCGTTTACGGGCGAGGGTTTGTGGTGACCCACATCCCTGAGCGGAGGTGCACACAATACTTGAGTTTGTGCTGTATGTGTAAAGGCCGGGCTCCACTACGCGTTTTTTTACGCGCGTTTTATCCGAGACATCGGTTTTTGCGTGAAATCGGTTTTGCAATTTGTCGGTTTTTGCGTGATATCGTTTTTTGCTTGTCATCCTGAAGCACGTGACATTATTGTTGTCATTAAACCCAGGCTCCACTACGCGGAAAATCACA